ATTTAGATACTGTCCATCTCACAAAAATTGACTCTGGATGGTTCACAATAAAACAGCAATAAATATTAAAATACAATAACACAATATAAAATACAGTAAAAATAGAATAAAACCAAACACATATACAAGTAATATCTTCCAAAAGATATTACTTTACTTTCATATTCCTCATTTGCACTATAAGGATGACTTTAATTTTTTTTTTTATGTGAACCTTACGTTTTTCTCTCCCAAATTGAAAAATGTATGATGGACAGCTTAATTCTCGTATATAAATTGACAAGTCCCCACAAGTCTGCAACTAAAATCTAATTAAAAGACATCTGTTACAGATTTTGACAGAGCAAGTTGTATGATTTTAATTGCCATTAGCTTTCCCCACTTGACTGCAAACAGATATCTCAGAATGCATTATTTCGCAACAACTATATACATTTTTCTAAGTTGTTATCTTATTGGCAAACATTGGAAAGAAAGCATTTTACACGAAACAAAATATACCTTACTGTGATTTTGGGGAATCACAGAACAGATAGAATAAACTGTGTAAATTATCTACATGTTACCAATTTTATTTTGTCAGACAAGTGAGTCACTCGCACTTGATTCACATTTTTAAAGAGCAGATTCTGTTAATTTGTATGAATGTTAAGCCCCTTGATAATAATTCAGCTTTCTTTAACTGAATAGTTAACCATACACAGTGAAATGTAGTAGAAAGTTTTAAAGCATATTCGACATGCTCAACTAAAGTAGTGTTTTAGATAATAAATATATATTTAAACAGGAATACATTTATAAACAAGAATAAGAATTATTTAGGCAGAAGCAGTAAAATATTACATCTTCCTTTAATTATAATACATATTTCATTTTCATTGTTTCTTATTCAGTCATTAGAGGGTTGTTAACTAAAACATGATGATCTTATTTGATTCTTTCCAATAACATTAGCATTGTTAGTTGGTTTCTGAAATGATTTTATTTAGTTTTCATAGTTCTTTGATTGCATTTTTGTCAACTGTTGTAAGCCAGGTTTCATGCTTCAGCTCTCTAGATAATTTCATCTTATTGAGAATTTTGCAGAGGGATTTTCTTGTTTTCTCCGTGGCTCAGCTAAAACCAGTGAGTGGAAAATTTTCTCAGATTGGTTTCTGAAGATACTAAATAAATCCTGTATCAACCTAACAGACAGCTGCTTTTCACTTCTTTTCTTTTATGTTTTTGAACATGAAGAGAAGGTCATATTGATTGCAAGATCACTAAAGAAGGCTAAGCCTCAGCAAGCATCTTTCAAAAAATGGAATGAAATAAAATTGCAAGTAATACTCTAGCATTTGACACATTAAACTGGACTGAATTCGTAACACACTTTAAGAATAGCTTGTTTGACCATTTGATGCTTCTCCAGGAAACAGACAAGATTACAGAGGATGGTGATCATGACTGGAAAAGAATCAGATGACCCATGAAACACTAACTTGGTGAAAAGAAATCCATTTGCAATATGGGATTGATCTACCAGGAGAGTGTCACATGAAAGCCTGGATTTCATATTTTAATTATTTTAAAGAAAATCTAGAACATTGTATTTATTGAGACATTAATTCTTCCTAGAAGATTTAAAAAGGTATATCTGTGCTACATAATGTGATCTTACTAATGCTGTACAGTTCCAGCATTAAATTCAGCTTGTAGAGGACTAGTGTTTCTTACCTGGATTCAGCCATTACCTTTCTAAATAATGAATGCCAAAGATGTTTTAAGTGACTATTCTGACCTTGTGATAGCACATGAATGCAGGAGTGGTAGAGGTGGGAGGCTGATCATATGAGAATGTAATACATATTTTTATTTATGCAATAATAAAAATGTGATCTCATTTTGAAATTTAAACATCCTTTCTAAGGATCAGTTAAAGTTTCATCTCTCTTTGTATATATCAATGGCCTAATTTAAAGTTTGATTATCAATGAGCTTTTTCTTTTTCTTTTTTTGCTTTTTCATCATATAGTAACAGATGTGATAGTCTCTTCAATACAGTACGTTTATCTTTTTCATTGTTTGTTAGGTTTGCATCTGCTGGTGATGATGGAATTGTATGTCTCTGGAATGTTCAGGTTTGTTTAAGAAATTGAAAATTTGTTTTAAAAAATAGCTACAGATGCAGATTGGGTGATGTTTAAATTCATGAGCTGCTGGAATATAAAATTAGCTATTATTTATAATCCCTATTTTGAAGATTTATAACAAACATTATTACAGAAGCAGAAATATAAATTTAAAAATGCATTCTGTAGATCATAATAAAGAACCATGGGTGTGTGAATGTAATTTACAGTTGAAAAGGTGAAGACAAAACATGCATGAAGATTATCAACATCTTTGCATATCTGCAATACTAGAAATAATGTTTGTGCAAAAATGGTTTAATTACATGTTTTATAATACTGTGCTGGATGGTTCACAATAAAAC